AGACCAGGTCAATAACAAGAATCAGAGAACTCAAAAACAGATTATTTGAAATTATCCAGTCAGAGGAGCAAAAAGAAAAAAGAATGAAAAGGAATAAAGAAAGCCTACATGTCTTATGGGACACTGTTAGAAAACAATCTACACATCGCTGGAGTCCCAAGAAGAGGAGAGAGGGAGACAGGGGACAGAAACCTTGTTTAAAGAAATAATAGCTGAGAACTTCTCCCAACTGGGGAAAGATTTGGACACCCAAGTACATGAAGCTAACAGGTCACCCCAAAATATAAATCCAAAACAATCTCCAAGATATTGTAACAAAATTGTCTAAAATAAAAAATATATATATTTTAAAAGCAGTGAGAGGAAAAAGAAGTTCTCTTATACAAGAGAAACCCCCTTAACGCTATAAGCAGATTTCTCAGCAGAGATCTTTCAGGCTGGGAGAAAATATGATGATACACTCACAAAACCTTGAAAGAAAGAGACTGCCAACCAAGAATACTTTACCCAAGTTGTCCTGCAGAAATGACGGCAAGATAAAAACTTTTCCAAACAAAAGCTGAGTGAGTTCATCGCCACTAGACCTGCTTTACAAGAAATACTAAAAGGAGTTTTTCGAGCTGAAACAAAAAGACTGTAACTACTAACATGAAAACATTAAATAACACTCTGTTCAAAATAAGTATATAGTTAAATTCAGATTATTCTTACAGTAGTGTTTTGACTACAACTTTAGTATAAAGGTGAAGAACAAATGTATTAAAAATAGCTACAGCTACAATAATTTGTTAATGGATATACAATATAAAAGATGTATATAAAAAAACAAAAATATGTGTGTAAGGGGATCAAATGGCAGAGTTTTTGTATATAATCAAAATTTGATTGTCATAAGCTTAAAACAGACTGCTATATTTATATAATGTTTCAAGTAATCCAGAGGATAAACACAAAATGAAAACCTACAGTAGATTTACAGAAGATACAGAGAAGGGAATCAAAGTGTATCGCTATGAAAAATCATCAATTTACAAAGGAAGACAGAGAGACAGGAAGGAAGAAATGAACAGTAAAACAGACAAAACAATTAACAAGATTGTAATAAGAAGTCCTATCAATAATTAGTTTAGATGAAAATGAATTAAATCCTCCTGCCAAAAGGCACAAAAAGGGTAAATGGATAAAAGAAACAAGACCTAACTATATGCTGCCTATAGGAGACTCACTTCGTTCAGGAAACACACAAAAAGCTCAAAGTGAAAGAATGAAAAATCATTCCACAAAAATGGAGACCAAAAGAGAGCAAGTGCATCTATACTTAAAATCAGACAAAACAGACTTTAAGTCAAAAACTGTAAGAAGAGACAAAGGTCATTATATAATGATTAAAAGGTCAATTCAAGAATATAATGATTGTAAATTTATATGCATACAACACCAAAGCACCAAAATATATTAAGCAAATAAATAACAGATCTGAAGAAAGTCATACACAACAATACAATAATAATGGGTATTATTTATTACTGGATAAATCATCCAATCAATATAGAAACCAAATTAAGCTATATTTGGAGGAAAAAACAGGATTACAATTAAATTCAGAAAAAGTGTAGAATGACACAAAAATGGCCAGTGTTAACCGGTCCTTAGAACAAAATACATTCTTCTAAAAAGCAGCAGCTAGGATTCTTCAAAATTCCAAAAGCTAGTAACCATAGCAAGATCTTGTTGAGACAATGGTTACAATTAGGAATTTCAGTCTCCTGGCAACAAGCCTCTGAAACTTTTCCATCTCCCAAGGACCTGAATTTGGAATGGCCTTTATTTATTGCGCTCCAATTTGATACTATCAGTTTGACTCCTAAACTGTATTTAAAATATATCTTTACTATATAAACTTGAGTAGTTCCATTTACCAGGTGGAAACTGCTTAAAAGGAGGTATCTGGGAAAGGTAGAAGGCAATATGTTTGTGCTTTGTGGAATTTACTTATCTCCGTTAAATCTCCTTCCTTTTAAACCTTATTCACATTAACTTTGAAAAAGATTCTTTACTTCAAGGTAATCTTGCAAAGCTGATCTGTGAAATTTAGGCCATAAACAGAAAGAATCTTTTTTATCAATTCTGAATTTTAAAGGCCTTTTGGATCTAAGCAGAAAATGGTCAAGACACTTCAATATCCTCAATTTTTTGTACAATTTGCTTCAAACCACAGCCTCATAAAGCATATGGGTATGCCCCCAAAGTAGAAGGGAATATCACCAACTTCCCATCTGCAAACAGTGGGGGTCCTTATTTCTGTCTTTCCAGGTTAAATCTGTATTTTAGAATCACCTATACAAGTACCCCTTTCCTAGTACCAAATTCAGTATCAGTTGAAACGCTATAGATTTCAAATACAGAAACTCATTCAAATTGGCTTAAAAATAACTTCTTATAACAAGTAATTCAGAAATCAGGAAGCCTTTATCAAGATTGACAGATTCCATGGCTCCAGAGGTCATTAAGGACCCAGGTTTTTCTGTCTCTGATCTGCCGTCCTTAGTTTTCAGATATCCAAACATCTGTCTCTCTTTACTATCCCAAGAGTGTTATCGGTAGCTTGACCAACCTGCTTCCCTGTTCACATCAGATTGACTTCTATTCCCAGAGACACACACCCACAACCCTCTCCCTTTCGCACACAAGTCAATCTGTCCTCAGTATGTCATTGGCCCAAACTGATTAAGTTCTGCCCACCCTTAAAATCAATCATAGACAAAGTAGATGACATTAACCATGGATGGCTCAGAGTACTCATCTAGGGTAGAACATAAATTGAGATCTCAAGTACAAATTCAACCATAGCATCTGACAATCTTTAAAATGATATCCTTTCATATGAATTTAAAATGTTTAAAAGTAAGTTATCTTAAAACGAAAAAGGATCAAAATGATACAAATTTAAAATATCCTTTCATATGAATTTAAAATGTTTAAAAGTAAGTTATCTTAAAACAAAAAAGGATCAAAATGATACAAACAAGGCAATGGACTTAAGAATTCTGTTTCTCTTTTACCCATTAAGGCCATCTCAAGTTTCCTAAAAACATCTCTCAAGACTCTTAGGAAGAATAATCAATCTCTCATCTATACCTCTAACTTTATTATAACATTATATTTTATAATTAGCTTCACATCTTCTCCACTCTTTAAGGCTCAGGAGAAAACATTTTTCTCTGAGGGTATCAAATACAAAATTGTTGATTCGCAGCTGGAAATCCGTATATGCGGAGGTCTGATTGCAGTTACACCTGGATTTTCGACTGCACAGGTGGTTGGCACTCCTAACCGCATTGTCCAAGGGGTCGACTAATATTTGACACAGTAGACACTCAAATGTTTAATGAATGATCAAACAGATAGACGTTTAGATTAATGTGTCTTTGCTGCTTGCATACTTAAGAAGTGGTAGATGGAATGTAGATTAGAAGTAGAGACTGGTATTTTTTTTGGAGCTACTTGCTTTTGCTGAGACCACAGATTTATACACTCCTCTAAGGGGAGTGATAAAAGGAAAAGCCAGAGGCAAACGATGTTATTAATATTCTCTTTTTATCCTATTACTCCATTATTCTGCTAATGATTCTTATCTATTTTCCCTTTCTACCTGTGCCTTTAGGTTAATTCTGCCATCACAAATTTTTAAACACATAAAATTAGGTTAAGTAAAAATTTAACCTAATTTAATAATTAAGAACCCACTGTTTTTGCCAGACTCAGTTTCATACTATGGACACAAAAACAAATAAAATTCTTAATGCAGTAGGGGAATCGGACAAAACCAATATATTGTAGTTAATCCTATAAAACCAGTATAAAGTATTATGGGAAATACGTGAGTTTGTCTAATTAGGCAAATATTAAAGAAACCAACATATCCTATACCTGTTGGTCATTTAGAATGTTCTAATATGTCTTATATTGTTGGGTAGTTGTTCTAACTTTTCTCTACACTAACAGGGAGAAATAACGTTTAAAATTAAGAGTTACACAGCAGGGGAGCACTATGAAAAAGGAAAAAATTTTTCTATGCCTCAAAGAACCAAAAATCAAAGAACAATGCCAGGTATTCATCTTTGATCAAACTGTTATTTCAATTTGGAAGGGGCAGGATATAGCCACTCCATTCTACTTTTGCTCAAAACTGGTTTTTAGATGAAAAAAATATGCCATCGACTAATTCTGTCATTCCCTCCAATTCTCCTAAAATAATACCAAGTGGGATAGCATGTGTGAGTCAAGAGGAATCAATTAAAAAACAAACAAAAAAGGAACCAAAATTATTCCAAAATGAGTTCTAAGTGTGGCTTTATCAGCTTTAAAGATAAGCAAGTCAGTGAAGGAGGCAAGTTCAGATAACGAAAAAGCTATACTAAATTTTGTTCACGCTAGATCTATGCTTATAAGAACAAAACGTTTACTATGAGAACTTTTCATATGCTGATTTTTTTCTTATCTAAATAACAAAATGTAATGCGCCTTGCCAAAAAGCAGAAGAGACACTTTTGAAAAATTGTCACAAACAGTGCTTCTAGTTATATAGTTGGAAATAGCCAGATACAATACTGCCAAATGAAAAAATCAACTCAGTTTCTAATGTTAATTTCTAAACATTTGAACTGTTGTTTTATATTGCAGGAGGAACAAAGGCCCTATAAAATGACTGTTTAATAAATGTGCTGATGTATGCTTCTGAAACTTGTTAAAAAATTAGCAGTGTCTGAAATCTGGCTACATTAATGTATAAAACTTGCTAATCAAATCTCACACTTAGCTTTTCACTATTACAAAAGGCCATAAGGCAACAAAATAATGAATAAACAATCTCCACTTATTTTCTTAGTAATACTTGTAATACTTTTCAAATCTCTAATAGTAGAAACAATAAATTCATATAAGACTTTATAATAAAAACAAAATAAAATCTCAGTCTTCTTTACGTTATAGTAACTTACCTCTTAGAAGTAAAATTTTTTTCCAGATCCTCATTATGAACCAGTTTTGTATCCCCAAACTGCCATGAAGACTGTAGATCACAGCTTATATCAAGCCGACACTGGTTAAGAGTATCGTGTATGAAACTATACTCTCTAGTATTGGTGCAACAAGATGACAAGTAAACTAAAGATAAAGAAAAGCCCAAGTGGTTATTTGTGTTTAAAATCACATCATTGTACATCTGTACAATGACAACTGTATATCTGACATAAGACACGAAATAAACTGAACACTTGAAATTTTTCAGTAACATCTGGAGGCAACAATTTTATATTTACAGCAATATAGATTTCCCACACCTGATATAAATGAAAATATGAACCTTGTTTTTCTTCACAAACCTACTGGAGTTCCTGAAAGTTGACACAGATATACTAGGTAGTACTAGAATTGAGGTAACTCATTTTTAACCTTAAGATGTACAGACTCTATAACATGCATTGTTATGTACATACCTGGTAGGTACTGTTAGCACATGAATATTTCTTGTATTTCCCCCAAATAAGGGAATCTATATACTAGTAAACTGTTTGGTTACTTTGACTTGCAAAAATACCAAAACATCTCTGTAAACTGCTGACTGACACAATGGCATGAATGGAAGGTAACAGACCTTCTCAAGAAAATGAGCGATGTTTTAAGCATTGCTATATTTAGTGGATGCACAAAAGGATCAAAACCCTTAAGAGGAAAGCAGGGAACAGATACAGTTGATTGTTATTTGTGGTAGTATGGTCTATTAAAGTTGCTGCCATAACTGAATTTGTGAATAAAGGCATAACTTGGAGATATTGCAGGTTCAGTTCCAAACCACTGCAATAAAGCCAATGTCACAATAAAGGAAGTCACACAATGTTTCTGGTTTCCTAGTGCATGTAAAAGTTATAATTATATTGTACTGTAAATCTATTAAGTGTGCAACAGCATTATGTCTAAAAAACAATGTACATACCTTAAAAATACTTTATTGCTAAAAAATGCTAATCATTATCTGAGCCTTAAGTAAGTTGTAATCTTTATGCTGGTGAAAGGTTGCTGCTGGCCACTGACTGGTCCGGGTGGTGATTTCTGAAGGTTGGGGTGGCTACGGCAATTTCTTAAAACAACACAATCAAGTTTGCTGCATTGAGTTGACTCTTCCTTTCAGGAAGGATTTCTCTGTAGCATGTGATGATGTTTGACAGCATTTTTTTTTTTTTTTATCTACAGAACTTTCAAAATTGGAGTCAATCCTCTCAAACCCTGCTGCTGCTTTACCAAAAAATTTACATAATATTCTAAAATTAAATTTACATAATATTCTAAATCCTGTTGTCATTTCAACAATATTCACAGCATCTTCACCGGTATATTCCACCTCAAAAAACCATTTTGCTCATCTAATAAAAGCAACAACTCATCCATTAAAGTTTAATTGTGAGATTGCAGCAACCTGGTCACATCTTAAGGTTCTATTTCTAATTCTAGTTCTCTTTGCTATTTCCACCACTGTCAAACCCCTCAGTCATCCATGAGGGTTGGAACCAATTTCTTCCAAACTCCTGTTAATGTTGATATTTTGACCTCTTTTTTATGAATCATGAATGTTATTGGTGGTATCTAGAATAATGAATCCTTTCCAGAAGGTTTTCAATTTTTGGATGTTGGATTAGCAGGCATAAAAACAACATTAATTTCATTGTACATCTCCATCAGAGCTCTTATGTGACCAGGCGCATTGCCAATGAGCAGTGATATTTTGAAAGAAATCTTTTTTTCTGAGCAAGTCTCAACAGTGGGCTTAAAATATTCAGTACTGTAAACAGATATGCTATAATCCAGGCTCTGTTATTTTATAGAATATAGGTACAGTAGATTTAGCATAATTTTTAAGGGCCCTAGGATTTTCAGAATGGTAAATGAGCACTGCTTCAACTTAAAGCCAGCCACATTAGCCCCTAACAAGTGTCAGGCTGTCCTGTGAATCTCTAAAGCCAGGCACTGACTTCTCTTTTCTAGCTGTGACAGTCCTAAATGGTACCTTTTTCCAATATAAGGCTGTTTCATCCACAATAAAAATCTGTTGTTTAGTGTAGCCACCTTCATTAATTATCTTAGCTAGATCTTCTGGATAACTTGCTGTAGTTTCTATATCAGCACTTGATGTTTCACTCTGTACCTTCATGTTATAGAGACATTTTATTTCTTTAAACTTCATGAACCAACCTCTGCTGGCTTCAAATATTTCTTCTGTAGCTTCCTCATTTCTCTCAGCCATCATAATACTGAAGAGTTAGGGCTCTGCTCTGGTTTAGGCTTAGGCTTAAGGGGATGTTGTGGCTGGTCTGATCTATCAAGACCACTCAAACTTTCTCTATATCAGCAATACAGTTGTTTCACTGTCTTATCATTTATGTGTTCACTGGGGTGCACTTTTAATTTCCTCTAAGAACTTGTCCTCTGCATTCAAAACTTGGCTCACTGTTTAACACAAGAGGCCTAGCATTTAGCCTCTCTCGGCTTTTGATGCAGCTTCCCCACTAAGCTTGGTGGCTTCTAGCTTTTGATTTAAACTGAGAGGCGTGCAACTCTTCCTTTCATCTGAACACTTAAGAGGCCATTATAGGGTTATTAGTTGGCCTAATTTCAATATCGTTGTGTCTCAAGGAATACAGAGGCCTGAAGAAAGGAATAGAGAGGAGGGAAACAGCCAGCTGGTGGGGCAGTTAACAAACACAACATTTATTAAGCTCACTGTCTTATACAGGCTTGGTTTGTGGCACTCCAAAATGATTACACTAGTAACATCAAAGATCACTGACTGCAGATAATAACAAATATAATGATGATGAAAAGTTGAAATATTAAAAGAATTACTCAAAATGTGACAGATATGAAATAAATGTAGGAAAAATGGCACCAACAGACTCAACAGTGATGTCCTATTTCATTCCTGATGGTAGTAATTTGTGGCTTGTATCATTTTTTCCTTGTCAGTCTTGCTAAAAGTTTGTCTACTTTTTCGATCTTTTCAAACGACCAGCTGTTTTGTTTCAATGAATTTCCTTTCTTCTGCTTGTTTTGGGCTTATTATGTCATTCCTTTTCTAATTTCTTAAAGTGGAAGTTTAGATTAGTGGTTTGTAATTAGTACTCTGTAAGTACTGAGTACTATAAATTTGTTAGCAGTGCTTTAGCTGTGTCCCTCAAATTTTGATACAGTGCATTTTCATTTTTACTCAGTTCAGTGTTATTTTAAATTTCCTTTGAAATCTCATGAATATTTAAAAATGTATTGTTTACTTTCCATGCATTTGGAATCACTATTTTCTATTATTAACTTTTGTTTGCATGTGGTCAGAGAACATATTCTCATGACTTCAATTCCTGTAAATATGTTGAGATATGTCTCATGGCCAACTATACTATCTTGAGTGTCAAATGGGAGCTTAAAAAGAAAGTCTATTTTGCTATTGTTGGGTAAAGTAATGTATAAATGCCTTTTAGATCCTCTTGGTTGAGTGTTTAATTCTATAACTTTGCTGATTTTCTTAGTTCTACCAACTGTTGAGAGAGGTATGCTGAAGTTGCTAACTATAAGTCTGAATTTGTCCATTTCTCCTTTTAGTTCTATCAATTTTGCTTCATGTATTTTGAAGCTCTGTTGTTTGGTGAATACACATTTAAAACTGCCATATTGGTGAATTGACCCTTTCATCATTATGTAATGTCCCTCTTTGTTCCTGAAAATCTTCCTTGAAGTCTACTTTATCTGATACTAATATAGCCATTATTGCTTAATTTTGATTGTTTGCATAGCTTATCTTTCTCCATGTGTTGATCTTCAACCAATTTATATCACCATATTTAAGTGAATTTATTGACAGCATATAGTTGGGTCACGTTTTTTATCCATTGTATCAACCTCTGTCTTTTAATAGTATATTTAGATAATTTACATTTAATTGTTATCTTAGGGCTTAAGCCTGTCATTTAACTGTTTATATTTCTCAGCTGTTCAATTCTCTTATTTCATTTTTCCCGCATTCCTGTATGTTACTTGAACATTTTTAAAATTCTCTATCTATAATGTTTTATAAAAAAGTTTCAATTCTGAGATAACTATAGATTCATGTGAAATTTTAATATATAATAAATCTTATATCCCATTTACACAGTTCCTTCCTTACAGCTTGCTTTATACTTGTCTTAAATATATCCTCTATATACACTGAGAATCAATCAGAGAATGTTATTATTTTTGCTCCAACTGTCGAACATAATTAGAAACCTCAAGAGGAGGATGCTCTACTATATTTCTCTATACATTTACTCTTTTCATTGTTCTTCCTTCATTCCTAATGTTCTCAGCTTCTTTCTTTTGTTATTTCCTGTTTAGAGAACTTCGTTTAGCCATTCTTTTAGGGTGGATTTGCTAATGCAAAATTCTTAGTTTTACTTCATCCGAGAATGTCTATTTCACCTCTACTCCTGAAGAATATTTTTGCTGGGGACAGAACTCTGGGTTGACAATTTTATTCCTGCATTTGAAAAATGTTGTACCACTTCCCCTGGGCTCCATAGTTTCTAATGAGATATCTAGTATCAGTCAAACAATTTTTGTCCTTAGATAACATGTGGTTTCTTTCTAGTTTCAAGATTTTTTCTGTTTTCAGAAGTTTATGACATGCCTTGGCATGCACTTCTTTGTATTTTGTTGTTTAGGGTCTATTCAGCCTTTTGAATGTATAGGTTTATACCTTTTGTCAAATTTGGGATATTTTCAGTCATTATTTCTTCAAATACTTTTCCAGCTCCACACTCTCTTCTACTTCTGGGACTCCAAGTACAAAGATGTTAGATCCTTTATTATTGTTCCACAGCTCCCCAAGGCTGTTAATTTTTTCTGTTTTCTCTGTATTGTTCAGGTTGGGTAATTTCTATTGCTATAGCTTCAAATTCACTGCTTCTTTCTCAATTCTTTTCTGGAATCTATCTAAATACGTTTATATTTTATTATATTTTTTAGTTCCAAAACTTCTACTTGGTTCTTTATTACATTTTCCATTTCTTTCCTGAGATTTTTCTATTTTTTAATGTTTCAAGATTATTTATAATTGCTTGTTGAAACATCATCATGATGACTGTTTTAAAAGCCTTGTCAGATAATTCATCGTGGTGTTGGCATCTGTTGATTATCTTTTCTTATTTAAGCTGAGATTTTCCTAGGTGGTATTAAGATAATTTTATTGTTAAGAGGCTCTGGATCACATTTAATCTTGTGCTTTAACAAGCCTCTACTATAACTGAGATGGTAGGGGAAAGTGTGCCAGTAGGAAAAGGTGGAGTACTAGCTCTTCACCATTAGGCATAGATGAAGTCCTGACTCTCCACAGGGCCTCCACTGACACCCTGGGGGGATGCCTTGTTACTGTGATAAAGGGGTGGAAATCTACATTCTTACTCGGTCTCTGGTGACACAATGGGAGGGGGATGGGTGCCTTGTTCCTGGTGGGTGTGATAGAATTCTATGTTCTCCACTTAGATCTTTACCAACTCTACTCCCAGTGAGAATGGTCAACTCATCACCACAGGGCAAAGTTAGAAATACACTGACACTGCAGACGAGGGGGATTGTAGGGAGGAGTACTAGTTACTGCCATGAAGGGAAGACGCATAGGTCTAGGCCTCCACTTAGCCTTTGCTGACAAAAATGTAGGGGCTATTTCCACTCCACCCACCCCCCCACCCAGTGTTTTGCAGGAC